CATTGAAAACATACTTTCAATCGCAAAGAGAGAGAGAGAGAGAGGGCAGAGAGATTTGATGTCCACATTTATTTAACGTATGATTCACAATACAATAAACAATATTTGATCAAGATTATTTTATTGTTAAATCCCTATACGGGTTAATATTAATCCTCTATTCCATACATTACATACCATTTCGCACAAAAAAAAATAATTCACCAAAAATACAATAACATGTAATAACTATAATAAACTAGTATTGCAATAGACATAACGTTGCTATAATAAAACCAGCAAACAATAACATGAATTATTACACGGCAAAATCTTTCTATGATGCTCAAATGAGTGACCATATACTGCTCCTATCAGAAACACATAAAAACACCTTGACACTTAATTTATAACCGTATATTATATTTTATAACAATATATTATTGAGTGTAAAAGTGAGGCAAAATAGTTTTTACACAAAGCATTAATACATTAAAAATAAATTAAACCAAGATAAATTTTTATTATAGTACAATAAGTATTATAATAATTATATTATTTTTAAATAAAACATTGGGCTTAATCTTACCTGTGCTGTGATTATGTTCATCCATGACTTGTGTAGTGATATGATTGGCAATGCAAGTGCTGTTGTCATCGTTGGCCCGGAATCCCTGTCGACAAACGCACCGTCCGTTTTGACAGTTAGTGTCGGCAATAAACCTATGCTCACAGTCGGTGTCTGACCCACACGTGTATGTGTTCAACGAGTTTTGATTAACATCTGTAAAATAGGGTACATTTGTTAACAATTATATTTAATCATGCACATTAATTATGCAAATAATTAATTATTGTTTTTAATTTGAAATATTTAATTAAATATATAATTTTTCATTAAGTTAAAAATCATAGAATATTCTTTATGGAAATTTTAATTTAACTTTTATTATTATTTTTGTTTGTTATACTGTCAGTTAATGTGCCATTTTATATTAGATTTAACCAACATTAAATAAATATATAAATATTTTTGTTAAACTATTAGAGATATTTATGAATTGTATGCTTAATGGAGCGGATAATCAAATATAAAATGTCATTTATAAATAAACCATTAGTTTAATATAAACTACATATAATATAGTGTGTAATCACAGAAAATTGTCAAAATATTAAAACTTGTAATTCATATAAAATGGTATGAAAAACATTTTATTTGTCATTATTGCTATCATAAACTCTCTCTCTCTCTCTCTCTCTCTCTCTCTCTCTCGGGTACTATTATTACATAGATGTCTGACATATAAAATTCATTATAAAATAATTTATTTTTAAGAAATGTTTAAAAATAAATTACAAAATATTCTTTAAGGGATTGTTTTGTTTTTTCTAACATTTGTTATAATTAATGACATATTTATATCGGAATTATAGATTATGACAGAAGTTTCGCAACAATTAATTATACTCTATTTTGACTCTCTCTCTCTCTCTCTCTCTCATAATCCGTTGTTATTTTAAATGAATATTACTTTTGCTAATAATTATTTTTAATCAACATTTAAATTGTAATTTATTTATATATTCATTAATTTTATACATAAAATAAATAAGAGTTTTTGTTTAACATTTAATTAGCTCTCAATTCTATAGTCAAATCTCTTTCTCTTACACAATAAACAACACGTTTATTGTAAACAAAGTCTACTTATTATATGAAATATAATGAATGTAAAAACAAAAATTAATTTATTTATACCGCCTTTGAATGTGTTATCTAACAGAATATTCTGTACACTAATAGTGACTGTGTATAAGAATGTGTTGTTTATTTATTTAGCACACAATTTAATAGTGATATTATAATGAAATTCTATACAGAATATTCTTATGGCAAAACGTGCGAGACGGTTTTATTTTAACTAGGTTTATTTTTTTGTTTTGGTCTTAGGGTCGAATAGTACATGATTTAATTTTATATAATGCTCATATTTAAATTATTATAATTTTAATAACTCAGTCCTATTTATTTTAGGAAAGAAAAATTTTAATGTGTTATTAATAAATAATTTTGGCATGTTTGATTTATTGAAAGGATAATTCAAAAAAGTTATTTGTTGACTGATTTATTCAGCTATAATTTATATACAGCCTATAAATGTTAATATAAATACATAATAAAACGTCTCAATTGAATTTCAATTTTATTGCTATATAAGAATTTTTATTTATTCACAATAAATAAAATTTAAACCATGTGTAAAGAGTATTTTATTTATGCTAGTTTAAAATTGAATGCCCAGAAAAACTTATATTCATGCATTTCACGACTTTTTACATTGAATAGTTTATTGATTCGTTGAAAAAATATTATTTTTTATATGGACTCACTATATGTGTGTCTATTATTTAATATAACTGTATTTTTGAGCACATTATATACAACATGAATTATTTATAGCATTATTTTTATGCTCCTATTGTATTGAATACAAGTATTATTTGATGCACTGATTGTTGTCAACGAGTTTATAACATGCTATATATGAGTGATATACACACACGCATACTATTGTAATATGGTTAATTGTTTATCATTTTTAGCATTATTAATGTAAAAATACAGCAGAAATAATCAATAGACAATTTTAATAAAAATTTAATTACATAATGAGATAGATTCTGTAAACCTTTGGCTAAATTAAAATTTAAAGTAAAAGCATGAAACATTTGAACAACATTTTATCACTATACAACATTTAGAAAATGACAATAATGTATTTTTAACTAAATTAACCTCAATACTAGTTGTAGCAATTTACTTGTGAGACAAAAATGTCATCATGACGCTTTTAATATAAAGAATTACATGTATACAAAAATATTATTAAATGAAATAATTTATAAATTGCGAATAAATGGAGAGAGAGAGAGAGAAATTTTTATGGTTATAAATTATTTTTTAAAACATTTTTTATTATCCCCCGTCTATTGTTACACATTGTAAAGCAGCTTATTGTCTAATATTTTACGCAATCACTCACTCGTGTGTGCGGTGGAGCTGAAATTAATTACGAGAATTTTAATATACATTATAACATACAATAACTAAAAACATTATGATAACAATTAATATAAATGTATAATTAATTTTACAGATGATATACCGGGAAAGGAAGGCAATGGAGAGCCGGCGAAACCCAAAGAGAAATACAACGGCAGTCATATGTTGCCCATAATGATTGTGTTGGGCATCATGTTTATCGGCATGTGTGTCGCACTCAACCTATTTAGCCGGTAAGTTTTTTTTGATGCCATCATGATTTTATCATCATGGTGACAAAATTATAACGTGCGATAATGTGCTGTATTAAAAACCATCGATTCGCCCCCTTAAAAGTCTCTTCACTGTCGGGCTCTATAGCTTAGCTGTTACGTAAAGTTTATGTACTGTAAATGTATATTGCTTAAAATATTAGCATTTTAGTTAAATCTGCCAAGGTAGCTATCGCTTTTAGTTAATTAATGTTAGATTCTGGCTGGATAATACATCGTAGCATCATGATACATTATGCATTATAGCATCATGGTCGACCAGCATTTTGTTACTAGCACGTTATAATATGAATGACTCATAGAGTTGACTCGTAATTATAAATGCTTACTGTAATTTTTGTTTTGTTTTCTGTGCTGACATATTGTGTACGCAAATTACATACGGATTACTTGTAGCGCACGTTTCCGTCAGAGTCGTAGCGGTATTTTCTCGAAACCACATCTCATTAAATTCAACAACAGCTCCAACTCTAACACCGCGAGTGGCAAAAAACGCCGCTCCAGTCCACCCAACCCTAACCGCGGACCCCCGGGTCCGCCCGGAGCCGGCGCTGTTGGCGGGGGCGGCGGCGGTGGTGTCGGCCCCAGCACTGCGTACACGAGCGCCAGCATATCGGCCCCCGACGCCGATGTGGCTAAAAATGGCTCATATATATCGATCGCTTTGGAGTCCTAAACACACACACATACAGGGTTTGACTGTACTATACTTTAGTATATCCTGCGATTTTTGGTTGGTATTTATTTTTGGGCGTTTGGAATTCTACCTGGTCACCCTTATTTTTAAATTAATTTAAATTATCATACATACCTGTTTGTTATATATTGTTTGCTCTATTTTGTCTTATGTAAACGATAAATTATCTTGTTAATTTTACTAATTAAGTATGTAATCACTATGTATAATGATTGCACCATGAACATCTACTAACTCTCGTACACTATCTACACGTGTGAATGAATGCTGTATTAAAATATACTGTACTGTATAGACAATTATAAAACTCCCATAAGTATTAACATGGTAAATTGTAATTACTGTCTACTTTTATATAGCGAGTATATTATTATACAAAATCGTATTTAATAATTAAAATCCAAACTTATTATAGTTGTTATAATATAAGTATTATTATTATTATTATGTAAGTATATTTGTGTATCTTAATAATGGTATTGTTCAGTTATTAATTAATATTATTATTATAATTAAATAATAGTTATTTGTAATACTTATGACAAACACGATGGCAAACTTTAATTGTCTTTAAATGAAAACAAACTGAGGATGTTATTATAATAATCAATGGATTATTCAATAACAAAAATGTAAAAATTATTATTCTAAGTCAAAACATATTGTAACTGGATCATATTATAGTTTATAAATTCAAAGCCAATTTCCGAAAAAACTAAACATGTTATTTTAAAAATTCCAACGGATTCATGACTTGAATGTGAAGTAGTATAAATATTAAAAGGATGCTTACATTAAAAATTGATTTTAGTTATTCAAAATAACGATTAAATTACAAAATGCTCGACAGATTCTTTCACCGGAATAATACCACTATCAATATATATATATCATTTGAAAGATCCATTCAAACTCTACAATACTATGCAAAGAAACTTGTGGTATTTTTCTGGTGGAATGATCAGGAGCATTTTGTAATTTATAGTAACTAAAATTAATTTTAAATGAAATCATTCTTATAATATGTATGCTACTTTACTTTCACTTCATGGATCCGTTGGAATTTTTTAAATATCTTGTTTAGTTTTCTAGAAAATTGATTTTGTATTTTGGAAAATCTCCGAAAATATCTAAAAAATTCTTGACTTAAAATAATAATTTTTGTATATTTATTCTTCTTTATTAATGTTGTAATCACGAATAAATTTTTATAAAAATTTGACCATTTTTGTTAAACCTTTGCCAAAGTGTTTCCTAACAAAACCAAATCAATCATGATATTAAACTAAAACTTATAATGGTAAAAATATAAATGTTAATTATCGATATAAACAACATTAATACAGATTCCTATAGCGGTTTTTGGCACAAACTTTTCATTCATAAAAAATATATAAAACAAACAAAAAAATTATATAAAAAGGTTAAAATGTTTTTAAAACTAATGTTACATTTCATATAAAATTGCACTCATTTTTATACAGTAATAGCAAAATGAAAACAAACAAAAACATTATTATTATAATAAAACTTTACTTAATATTTATTAATATTAATTCGTATACAGAAAAGTATTATTACTATTAAATTATATAAAAATTCATATCTAGTATATTGTATTGAATAGTGATACCAATACATAATTAACCATGATCCTAAGTTTATTATCTATTTAATTGTGTAATTCATTTGTGGACTCAAAATCAGCACAAAGTATATGATTATTGTAATAAACACTTGTAATTTATTATAACTATTATTATGACATTTATTTTTTCATTTTAACTATTTATTAAAACTATTGTAATGTTTATCATAATATAATTATTATTATTATATAAATCTATTGATATATACATTGGAAAAGTCCGAGTGATGTAACAAAACAAATAACTTATGAAAATAAATATAAAACTGTTTTTTGAAATATTTTGAAAATTTTTTATAAGACTAAAACTAATTTTGTAACAAAAGTTTGAATTTTATTATATTTTTAAACAAATAATCTAATGAAGCGTTAAATTATAATTAGATATCTATTTATAGACTCAAACAATAGATATATACTGTACTGAAAGCACCCGCCCTTCAAATGTAATACAGTTTAGCATAGATTACATATAAAAGTCAAAAATTTAATGTGGAAATAATTAATGAGTTACTTATTATTTAATTTAATTATAAATACAAACAATACTTAATTTATAAAACATATTATTTTATAATATAAAGTAAATTATAATGAAAAGTAAGTTATGAATGAAGGATGTTTGATCATGTTTAACCAAAATATAAACACACCTATACCTCAAATACTCAGTCAATCGATCAGTAAAAATATATATTAATAAATAATATATTAGAAGCATCAATGTCAAGGAAAATATGTCACTATTTATATACATGAATTAATAATGTTACACAAAAAAATATTGCCAATATATTACATACAAAAAACTGGACCAATTGTCCATACCACAAAAATGAGACATTAAAAACGTGGTAAAACATAGCGATCATTATCGAAAAATAATTAAATCCTTGCCATTAATGTTAGTCATAATAATAGACAGATATAAAACAATTGAAATTTGTATTTAATTATAAGGTTTGGACTGATATTTGTTACCTAAACATAGACTACCCCATTCACTGGCCTAACATACTCTACCCCACCATACATACCATGTCAAGGGTAGTACCCGTGTATCACAACTACTACCACACATCAGGTATAGTCTTAAATATCGATTAATAAACATATAATTTTATGCATAATTAGTGATCACATCCGATAGACATCTACTCTTAATGATTGAAAATGGGCTGAAAACTAGTGTATAAAAAATATACGGCTATTATTTAATGTATGGCCAAAAAAGTCAGTAATGTTTTTATGTGTCGCTCGTCAACGAAATACTTCATGAATTAATAATGAATTTTTAAATGTGTTTTTGACATTGAATTCAGTTTTTTTCTATGTATTTTCGGTTTCATAATATTAGGTGTGTTTTGTATGATAACATAGTATACTATAGATCTCTTTAGAAAATTTATTAACCCATAGATATAACATTGGATTCTATGTTTTTATTATACATTGGATTCTTGTATAAATACATGCATAAAATTTGTTTTAAAATTCAATTCCCATTTATAACAGACAATAGTATTTGTCGTATCGTATTGTTATTGAGATGTTTTTAGGTATTAAATACCCTTTTTTACTGTTTGTTTTTATGTCTAATCGGGATAATAGTGTGTACACATCGCTTGTATAGTGTAATCATTACATACATGTATTTAATGATAAGAAATTCTGTAACAAACTCTACTAGTAATAAAATCTCTTTTCCCTTTTATTACTCTCTCCTCTCTCTCTCTCTCTCTCTCTCTCTCTCTCTCTCTCTCGCAATAATGTACTGAAATTACAAATAAAGTATCCCTCATATAATGTATAGATGTTTTATGTGCTTTTATTTACTGTTTTTTGCTATATATTTAATGCATTATTTTATATACAGATAACGAATATATTTTAGCAAAAATACAGATTTTTACCGCATTTTAATGGTTAATAAAAAATAATTCCCATTAATAGTAATGTAATCAAAATCCATGTTTAAGTCCATCGTTTAAATTAATGTTTCAAAAAACTATGTATTAATTAATTTAAATGTCATACTATCAGTGATTTTGGTTTGCCATTGATTATAAGTTATAATTTATAACCGGGTTAATATTATATACTGTAGTAAACTTATAAAGTAAGATCATATTTAAATAAATATTAATTTTTTAACCAACTAGATTTTATTGTTCAATACAATAAGTTATTTGTTCTCTCTCTCTCTCTCTCTCTCTCTGACAAAAGACTGATTAAAGTCGTGGTTGAAGTTCAGCGACGAAAAAACGAGAGACACATAAAAACAATATTATATTAAATATAAATGTTATATCAAATCATAGATACGTTTCTATTATTAAGCCATTTATAGCTCGTTGTGAAATATATGTCTAATATTCGTCTAAATATTATGTTTTATTTTACAAAATAAAATTGTTTTGAAAAATTCAAACAGAATTTTATTACCAACAGTGTTTTGTTTTATATTTTTGCTGTTCATTCAAAACAAGTACATTATAACAGAATTTATTGCTTATTGGGATGTTTTATGTGATGTGTTTTTGCTTTATATTGTATGTTAAAAATCAATTATTAATGAATTGATTTTTGGAAATTTATTGAGGCTATTATAATGTGTATATATCTGATCAGGTAGAGTGACCAGTTAATCTTAGTTAAGTTAAAATTTATAGTTATGTTAGTCTAAAAATTTTAATGATTAATTCTACAGAAATATTATAAGTTTTCTATTTGTAATATTTTTAATTAATTTATCAGTTAGAACAATTTGATTTGTAGTTATTATAAAGTATTTTAACTATTTATTTAAAATAATTAATCTTGTTACCCTATTTAGAGCATACTGTACATTTAGTTCATTGAATACATTATGAACATTTTGGCAGTAAATTTCACGTAGACAAAAATACGTGTTATTAGTTTTCATAATGTACAGATAAAATAACCATTATATTAAATAATTTAGTTTTTTAGTATACTATTTGTAAAATATAAAATAAGTTATCAATAAAATTGGCCAATTTTAATTTAATTATTAATTTATTTAATATATTATGAAAACTAATTGATTGAAACAATTATCAATTGTTACTATAATTTTTATTACATTCTCAGAATATTCTGTTTAATAAAGCAATAAATCTAATGACAAGTTTGTGATACCATATGTTTGTTTCTGACAAATATATAAGCCTTATGTCTAATAATTACATATAATTGTATATCAAAAACAAAAAGCATTAATCAATCGTCTCAATAGTATAAATAGAGACATAAATTAAACATATGTTAGAGAGAGAGAGAGAGAGAGAGAGAGAGATCACAATTTTAGGGTAAATCTTTATTAATAAATTATTTAGTTATTTTTTGTGGCATTATTTTTGCTGTTAATAATTGATACTTAATTAGCAATTCGTTGCCATTTATTACT